GCGCTATAATAAGTGTTCCAAAGAAGAAGCGTTAACCAAGATCACAAAAAAACAACAACAATTGATCGATTAATTAACAATCCAGTTCAACTAAACATGCTTTAAGAGAAAAAATGTAAATATAGTATAGTAATGATGTGCAATAAAATAATTCATGAATTATTGATCCAAGAGGATTATGCTAACTGCGTCTTTTGTAATGAACAGATGCAGGATCCCGGTAAGCCTAAGCGAGATTTTTGCTGCGATTCTATGAGACTGATCAAGGATAACTTTCTTGTGTGTAAGAATTGTGGGCAAGTCCACGACTATTTATCAGCAGACGAGTATATTGACTTTTATGAGAACAGATACAGGATAAAAAGAAAGTCTATCTACTACAGAAAATATCATATCATCAATACGCTAAATGATATAGCGCAAAAAATAATATCCAACTTGATTATTATGATAGAGAGAGTATTCTGAGAATATTCCAACTATTTGACCGTATTGAACTCCCAGATGTGGGCAGAAAACGGCTTATTAGTGTAAGTTATATCATCAAACAACTACTTGACATCTTAGGGATAAAATACAAGTCTATTCCTTATACACGAATAAAAAATACACTAAAATATTACAATGAATGGTGGGACAAAGTTTATGGCCACATTAAGGATGACGTCAATAGAATAATTTTAAGGAGGCATTATTGATCTGTTGGATGGGAGAGAAACGTTTTAGCGTACTGCTTTTCGAATCTTGTTACTAATGGGGCAAAGTCCACGATCGTATCATCTAGTATATTTAGTTCCTTTAGGAAATCGTTTTTGTCAAATGGCCCCCCTCGCAAAGCGGTACGGAGGTCAAGTAATATTTTCTGGTAAGTGGAATAAGCAAACTTTGACATTTCTATTTTTCGTTTATAGTTCTTTGTGTCAGAAAGTGTTTTGAGAACTAAACCAGCGCCTGATATGCTTCCTAGAATGGCTGGGTTGGCAGTCAAACCACCAGCAACAGCTCCAATCACTATCAGGCCAGATGATGACATGTTTAGTAGGAGATTCAGTTTCTTAAAGTGTTTGAAGGCCTGTCGGTGACACCAGTATCTATAACGATAATACTTGTACAATTCTTTGATTTCCTGTATCTCTTATTTTGTTTTGCTTTTATCAATATGATTGAAGCAGAATATGTTTTCTTTTTGACTCATTATATTATTGGTTTAGATTATTTATAGAACATAAGAACCGTTCAATTTCTCCTGTACCATTATTCTATGAAATTCGATAGAATCGAAGTCATGAAAGTTTGGAGTGTACATTACTCTATAGATCACTGTATCTTCTGAGAATATTCTAAATGTGTAGGTACTCTGAGATGTTAAAGTTGTACTTAGTGTTAATGTTGCACTATGATTACTGATTGATGCTTTTGCTGCTATGTCAACCCCTGTACCTTTCTTAGTCAACGAAAACACAACACGTTTACCATTGAAACTGTTTAGTAATGTGATAGAAGTTTCATTAGTTGACCCATGGCCAGTAGTTTGCAGTTTTAATTTCTTTGTTGTTTTGTCATAAATCAAATGTGGTCTTTCATAAGCTCCATTACTCGTCAATGTTTTAATACTAAATGATCCGTTCAGCCACAGCTGCATAACAACACAAAGAGTAAAGCTCCTTTTACTGAATAATTCCAAACTTAATGTGGTATTTTTTATTCTCACTCCGCCCTCCCAAATATTAGCAATATCCATTCTAGGAAAATAAATATTGGGTAGGATGCCTGAAACCATGATACCTGATACTCCTATTGTTATTTTATAGTTACTAGCATCACTTAAATCATAAAATTCCTCAAATATTTCCCTGTACACATTATTCTTTGTATAAGGGCTCAATTTTGTCTCCAAATCTTTGACCATCTTCACAGTAGCAGCCGATTTAGTGCGCACTGGCGCTATATTCAGTATCTTCTTTCTGTTCATATCCAGATCAACATTGTAAACAACTTCTGTCGGCTTAATATCAAATGCCGTATGGTAATCATAAGTTTTGTTTGGATCTAAATCCATTGTTTCGCCAAGAATACCGTATACTATTAGGTAATATTTATTGAAATTAGTTGGATATGTGTTCAAGTCAATTCCCGACTGAGCCATAACATCCTGGATATGTAAGAAATAAGGGGTGGAGGATGCTGTCTTACTAAATGTCACCAGGAGTTTATGATAATACATATATTCAACCTGATTGGAAGATGTTCTATACTCATGTGAGTACTTATTGACATGCCAATTTTTTACGGTCACTCCCTGGCTGGTAGTTGTATCAACAGTAATTACAGATTTGTGCCATAATTTATAGTCAGTAGTAAGGATTTCCAAACAAAGGGTATATTCTTTGTTCATTTGAAGGCGATAGCATTGGATAGCTAATCGCCATTTATAACCACCCTCTGAATTCTTCTTAATGGATGCGAAAATCACCTTTTTATTGTATGTGTGGTAGTTGCCTGATGTTGCATTCAAATCACCAATGCTGTTTAGGGCAATACTGTC